GTTTTAGTGTATTTTTAATATTGTACGGCGGTGTATAATAATTTGACTTTCTATATAGGCTTATGAGTGTTATAATGTGAAAATTGTTATTCGCGAAAAAGATATTTTACCTAAAAATATCTACGAAGCCATGTCTTAATATTGCTTTTTTTTAGTTGGAGGATATTTAAATATTATACAGGGTGTTCATACTTAAAATGGACAATGTAAAAGAGATTTTAGAACTATTTGATACTAATTATGATCCAATGCAAATTATAAATTTGACGTTACTTAATTATTGTTATTGTGTCATTTTTGTAATTAAGGTTAATTTACACAAATGTCAAAATTTTTTGACAGAATCTTCAGTTTCAGTTCAGTTTTTAATATTCTACCAGAGAACTTTTTTTTTAGATTCTTAACCCTGTAAAGTAACTTTTAAAAATAAAAACACATTTACAAAACTATGCTTTTAAAAAATATTCACCCTGTAAATTATTTGACCCAGAAGGGCACTTCTAGGCAATTTAATACATTTTAATTTGAGTGAACTGACAAAATTGTTACGCGTATTACTTCTATGGAAATGAATTTTTGACCTCAAAATATAGGCTGCATGAAACTTATCAAGTAAGATGAGAATTCCATTTTTTTAAGTTGGTACAGAGGCGCGTACAGAAATACTGTTACATGACCCTTTCAATTTTATTTATTAATACAAAGTACTTATAACTTTGTTATTGAACTAAATTTGCAGAATTTATTTCGATAATCCTTGGTCCTTGATGACATAGAATCCCATTAATATGTTGCCATTCCTAAATATTAATAAAAATTAAAATTTTAAATTTGTGACATTTAACATGCATTTTAACACCATGTAAATAAAATCCTTGTTATTTACATTTAATTAATTCGTATTGGCAATTCAAATTATTTATAATTATAATAGATTATTTTTGTAAAATGGGTTAATAACTTGGTTGTCGCAAAAGGGACAAAGTTTAAACGGACTTTTTAATTACCGATTTATATGCATGTATTTGTATTTAAAAACAAAAATATTTAGTAATATTTTTAATTTTTTAAACAAATTTATTATGTTTATTTAACTAGGTTACGTTTAAAATATTTTGCATATTTAAAAAAAATTTGGATGCTGTTATTTGTATAAAAGTTACATAAATTTTAAACATAAATTAAAACAAATTTTTAACAAAAACATTGGCTTTAAATTTATCTTTCTGTTCGTATTAAACACTCGCTCACAAGCTCATGCTTAGTAAAACTCTTGAATAAAAACGCATTTTTAAAACTTTACGTTTCATTAAAATTAAATTCTGGGAATGCTTTTCTGAAATAACGATATTTAAATTTAAATCTTAATCCTCTATTAACCCTATGGGTAATTAGATGTCTAGACCGATAAATCCTTCCATTTTTCATTTACCATATTGCAGGTATAAATTCTAAATGATAAATTTACTTTTTTGAAAGTCAAAATTCATGATATTAATTATCGATTTGCAGAAAAATAATTAAATATTATTTATCGGTTTTTATATTTTTGCTCCTTTTAAAATAGTGCCTTTTTATTCCTTTAAAAAAATCATTTTTAAGATCAAAAACATATTACTAATGTTAAATTTTATAACTTGATTTTATTACAATATTTAATTAATTAAAAACAATGATTTTTACTACTCAAGTTTTACTTTTTTTATTTATGTGTGTGTACAATGTACATTGATCATATTGCATTTATTTATATTTTTAATGACATTTTTAAAAATTGCTTTTGTTAAAATTACAGATATATTATTTTACCTTTTGATCTTCAAGCGTCCTAATATTTACAAAAGTGATCAATTATCGCCTGGGCTGTAAAAATAATTTAAACCAATCAAAAAATTCGATCTGTCAGATCTACCTAACCTTACTTTCTACTTTTAATATTTATTATTATAATTGTGTATTTTATGTATCGTTTGACAAATAAAATTGTGCCTTTAAAATAAAATGTTGCTTGCCATTCGTGCTTCACTCAATTGTAGGCCTACGCTACGCATCGGCAAGCTCAGCACAAAAAGACACACTTCCCAGCCTAATGGCATAAATAACTATTTTAGTATCTTATATTTAAATAGTTAAATTTAATTGTACAATTAATATAATAAAATTTAATGACTTCAAACACTTGTCAATACAAAATTAGACGTCCTTGTCTCGTTGCATAATAATTCTAATTACAACATCGCACAAAAAACCGCACCAATGTAGATCCTTATAACTTAATAAAAGAAGATAAATTTGCAATAGATCGTCCTTTAATATAATAATCACCTAAATAATAATTTCGGTAAAATTTATTCTAATCTTTAATGTTTATGGGCTAAGGTTAATTTTCAATGCGAACATCTTTCCCTACTCCACGTTTTCGTGGCCGGACGAGCTTATAGTGGTGTAGTATATCGTCAAGTGACAATTAGGTTTATTTTTGCAGTTTGTTAACATCAGTGAGCACAATTTTTCAATATCAGTGTGCGCTTCTAGCTGCATTTAATTTTTTTACTTGTTCAACATTGTTTTAAACTTGTGATACTACTTCAGTGACTGTGTTTGTGATATTTTAAAGGTTTTTAGTTTATTTCATCGCGTTTCGTAATAATCTTGCCTTAAAGGTTGTTTCGAAACATCTTAGCCAATAACGAATTTTTAAAATATTTTTGATTGGTTTATTTATCAGTAAATAAAATGCCTTTTAATGCATGTAATATTTACATTTACCAAATAAATTGTTGTATTATTTACTTTTAAAATTTGCACATAAGCTACTGTAAAATTTGTTAATTAAGTGATTCGTTTGAAAATTTATTAAGAAAATTAAAAAATTAATAAAAAAACCTCTTTATTTCAATAGGAATTAATATTAAGTTATGTTTTATCTTTCTACTTTTCGTAAATCTTTTATTGAATAAGAAAGTTTTAAAACATAAATATTTTAAAACTAACTTTATTTTTAATGGGTAATGTAATGTTTCCTTCTTTTTATTATTTAAACAATGTTTTTTTTATACTATTAATTATTTATGTATTAGAAGAAATAATTAAATTGGCTTAATTTTATTTTTAAACCGGTCAAGCAGATAATAGATATAATAATAATAATAAACATCTTTATTGTATATAAATAACATAACATTAGATACATATTTTATTTTGAGTTTATTGAGCATTCATTTTTTAAATTTTATAATAAAATATTTAATTTGGAAAATGGGTCATATAAACAGCGTTTGTTGCCTTTTTAAACCTGGTTAAAGCAACTTTCTATTTAATTGCAATGCGAAAAGAAGATCATTTTATGAAAAATAATACCGGATGATAAAAACATGAAAAAATATTTTTCCATAAAAACTAGCAATATTTTATTTGCAAAAACGCTTTAATTTAGTTCAGAATATTTTATGAAAATAAATAAATTACGACATAAAATTTATTGTAAACAATTAAAAATAGTATATTGTTTACCAAGCGTGGTAAACACTATACTTTTTTGTTGAGTTGAATCGCTTACAAATACACAATTTGAGTACCGCAAAAAAAACTTGTGTCGAAATTAAAATCTGATGTTTAATTTACTTCTGAAATTTACATTCAAAGTTAATTACACTGTAGCGTGGTCATTGCAGCGGGAGTGAATGAAACATGTCTTTAAACTTTAAAAATAGTAAATTTTACATATATTTGCTACTATATTTTAAGCTACCATCACCATCTTTGATTTTATAATGGATGGCAACTTATGTAGTAATTTTGATGCATTGTTGCTAACTTAAAATCTAGTAGGCGAAAAAGATCAAAAATTTTATAAAAATGTATATAAATGTAAAACTTATTTTTTGTCAAAATTTAAAAATATCGAATTTATTAGGATTTTGGGTTTGACAGGTTTTCAGTTGTTTCCAAATAATTTTAAAACGCCTTTTAATAGACTGGTTTATTCGACCTAGTAGATCTTTAAATAAAAAATATACCCATGCATAGAAGGATACTTGAAGCACCCTGTATACTTACAGAATATAAAATGTATCTATATTATATTAAAGTTTGCAAATTAGAAGACCTTATCTTATAATAAGTATGATTTAAAATCTTATTAAAAAGGCCAAACATTTATTAAAATATGTAATTGACTGGAAAAAACTAGGAGATTGCACCTTTGGGAAATATAAATAATTACACTAATTATTTTTTAATTTCACTTAACTAATTCTAAAAATATTTTTGAAAATAATTCATGAGGTATTTTAATATCTTTGAAAAACTTGTGGTTGTTTGTTTTCACTTTTATAACTTGCTTAAATGATAATAGAAAGTTAAATCGAACGCTAAAAAACCTAATTTATAAACAAATATTGCGTTAAAGCGAAGGTTAATTTATTTATTTTATTGTATTAGGGATTTAATTTAATTAATTCTTTGCAAAAACATCAATTTTATTCATTTACTTAATTTTGCAATATAACACCTTTGGGTTAATAAATTATATTTTGAAATAGGTAAAACAAATTATGTAGTTTTTAATAATTAACACAGTTGATAATAATCTTAATGGTTTTTGTCGTATTTTTTCATTAAATTTCTAGATACAAGACAATTCATTTTTTAAATTGGTTCAAACATTTTTATTTTGACATTGGATTGTTCATGTTATTTTATTGTTACGAAATGTAAACAAACTCATAGTATTACTTAATAGTTAAGTATTCAAGATACCTGGTGAAATGACTACTGTAAACATAAAAGGATAATTTTATTGCAACAAAGCATAAAAATCATCTTTAATAAAATTTAAATTATCATTAAATTAATCTACCTATTCCGCAATAGTAGAAACGTGACCACTCAAGAATAATAAGTATTCTTTCAGATTTTGTTCAAAAGAATCCCGATCCAAAAAGTTCATTCAATGTTTTTATTGCAACTTTACTAATTTTTCTGTTTTTTCTTTTCAGATTTAATCTAGTCTAGTCAAAATGAAGTGTTTCGTTAGTATCGCGAGTGTATTCTGTGTTTTAGCAGTCGTGAGTGCTGCCCCCTTTTTCCCAGGCGGCGGACTTAGTGCTTCTACTAGTCTCCAGGTTGGTAGCATTGCAATTTCATTCGCAACCTTTACAATTTAGCAAAATCAGTGGTTTAATTTGTATTTCTTATTTATCATATATTTATGCCAAAAAATTATTATATTATTAATAATATAATTTTTGTTTCACTTAAGTAAATATTATTTTTATAATAATAATTAATAATGGCGTTTTTTTCGTATAAAAAAAGTATAATTGTTTTTATTGGAAAACATAAATAAACATATAAAACGATATACCCACGATATCCCATGGGAGGGAATTTTAATTAAGTATTAAAAATACAAAATATTTGTCTAACAATTTGTTTTTAAGGTAGTACCTCATTTAAAGAGTATCGAGTTACTAAAAACAACATGAAAAGTTAAAAAGTAACAATAGAATTTGTTAATTTGTTGTAATAATAGCAAAATTAAGCTTTAAAACTTTATATTTTTGTGTCTGTTAAGTTAGCAGCATAAAATTTGAAATTTAAATATGTTAAAAAAATATTCTTATGAAGCCATTATTTTGCTTGAGTTTGAAAACAATCTTTTAAAAGAATTAAAAAAAAAATACTCATAAATTCGAAAAGCATAATAGATGTTGATGGTTTAAAAAATAATTAATATTTATTATTTTTTATGGAAACTTAAGAGCGAGCTTGTGTAATTTAAAAAAATATTTTCTTGGAATCTGTGCCGTAAAAAATCATATACCTTATATACCTCATATACATTAAATTTCAACGACATTCTATTTATTCATATAAAAGAACAACAAAATGTAGTTTAAAAGTTTAGTTTTTTTATGTTTTCTTTATTTTAAAATTACCACAAAAATATATAACTGTGATACCTGTGGAAATAATAGTTTACCTTTTTGTGAAAAGAACCATCAGCAAGGGATTACTTTAAATACCAGTGCTATATGTTTTTACAAAATTGTATATATATTTTTCCAAAAACAATTTATTGCTATAAAGCATTTATATTTTGCACAGGTTTTAAAAATTAAGGTTAGTTACAATTCTAATAAACCACGAGTTGACCACTGAAAGTTTGCTAAATGTAAAGGTAAAATTCATTGTAAGAAATAAAAAAATATCTTGGGAAAAAATAAATAATTATAATGGTATATTTTTTTATTTTTCAAAAAAAAACTGTATGAAAGAATCTCTTCTTCTTCTTATTCTTCAAATTGTATTTGTATTTTAAATAAGTTGATTATATTTTGTAAATGCTTTGGAAAACTTCTACTCATATTACAAAAACTTTCATCTAAGCATAACATATACAGGGTGCACCATATATACTTATATGCATATACATTTGAGTTTTTTATTTAAAAGTGCAAAAAGGTCAGTTGTATCAGAAACAAGTTCCGTTATTACACACCTTTTAAAATAAAATTTGAAAAAAAAAATATTATAACTTCGTTATTCCTGGAAATTTTTACATCTATTAACAATTTTATTAATTTTTTCGCTACTATATTTTGACTATTTTTTATTTTTATAACTTATGTAGTTTCTTTGGATTTCATTACTATTTTCTATATAACGGCCAAATTAATAACAATATTTGGTTTTGTCAGGTTTTCATTTTTTTTAAATTAATTGCGAATCACTAATTTGTTTAATTTAATTTAACCGATATTGTAGCTCTTCAAATTAAAAAATACCCATACATAAAGGTAAACTTGGTGCACCATGTTATAGTTAATTTAAATTAAGTTTTTAAATATGTGCCTTGCAATATTTTAATAATAACATAATTACAAATATTATTACCCTTTAAAAATCGAAAAGATTACAATACAATTAAAAAAATCAAAGAATTACATTTGATTTTAGTGCTGTTTTATTGTCAGAATACCGTACCTATAATATACTACTTTGTATTATTTCTGTGACGCTTGTAAACACATTAATTTCCATTATTTTCATGATTATTAACTAATAAAAAGTTATATAAGCATTGTAGCGCATTTATGATTGCTCACAAGTAGCAGATGATCGGCTATCTTGCAGTAGTGTAAGTAAGCAAGGTTATGAAGAAAGTAAGAGAAAGTTACTTAAAAGTCTGAATCTAACGTCATTTTCTTACATAAGATCCATGCGGATGTATCAGGAATTCATAATTCATTATGGTTATTTTAGTATCTGGAAGGTCATTCAAGAGAAAATAAACGACCTATTATTTGAACTCTGTTGTTTAAAATTATATTCGATGTATATCGTTTGATATAAAGAGTTTATTATACAGGGGATTAAAAAATAATGAGCAAGGTTTTATAATTAGATACATATAATTTTATAACAATCAGGGTCAAATTTAAAGTAATGTTATAATTAAAGAAAACTGGTATATATTTACTTTATATGCAATTGTCACTAATAAAGTAGTTATTCCTAGTAGTGTTAACAATGTATTTTATTTTCTGAGTAAACATTCATTATGAGGCATTTGAAGAATTCCGAGCTTGTCAGGTTATTTGACCAATACGTTCTAATATTTTAAACAAAACATGATTGTTAATTAATATGTTAGATACGTTATTAGTTATGAAATTATTAGAATTTTCTCTGCTTGACATTTGTTGACTTAATTAATAGGCTAATATTTGTTTTTTTATTAAGTAAAAGTTGATTTGCTTTAACTTTGTTTAAAATTGCTAATCCTAAGAAAAATTGCACAATCCAATGCAAAAGTATTTTTATATAGACAATTGTTAATTAAACAGTTTTGTATAATTATTTAAATAAATTACTTTTTAATAATAAGTAATTATTTCGAATTATTTTTGTATAACAATGTCAATTTTTAAATTTTTAACGGATTTATTTATCCTAAGTGTGCTAAAACTATATACAGAAAAAAGTTCAAGCTAGAAAAAAATTCTAATGAATTTTTTTTGCCTAAATTCACATTAAAATTCTACAAAAAAATGTGAAAGTAAAAAAAATTGCTGTATTTATATAAAAAATTATAATTGATTTTAATTATAAAATAACTGAAATATTTTTTAAAACAAATAAAACTAAGTCATTTGTGGAAATATTGTATGACCAAATTTTATGTTAATTGCCCATTAATCAAATTCGCTCATATACGAGTAGTAAAAGCGAAAGTAAAAATGAAATCATCGGAATATACAAAAATTAGCATATAATAAATAAATAAGTTATATATATTTACTATTATACGGGGTGTCCCAAAAATAGCGTGACAAAACATTTTTTGATGATTAGTTTTAGAGAATTTTGTTTAAAGAAACTTGGCAATGCTGTCTTTCTAAAACGCTGATAGATTGCAGATCTAAAAACAGTTCACATGGAAACAATTTAAATAAGATAGTTTAGCTTTACATGGTTTAGAGATGTATTTTATGGAATTTTTATTAAAAATTATTATCTTGTTATTATTAACAAATTTTTATTTTTTTTATTTTTGAGGTGTCAATAGATAATTATTTTATACACCACCAAAGAATAGGTACGAGAGTGGGCAAAATAATTAATTCCCTAATTGTTCATTCCTTTCAGTAGTGGCATAAAATGTTGTGTGTGCTATTGGTAAAAAGAGGAGATTCCACTCGCCTGTTACCGCAATCTACACTCGAGGAATCTCATTTTTGTCCAACACTGTATACGCTTAAAACAATCAACAAAGTAAGCTATTGTTACACTAGTTGAATAATGAAACTATTGTTTCCCTAGTGGAACAAGCAGAATAAAAAGAAGACAATTATTGTTAATAATACATTACAGCTATTTATTATTTACATACAAATCTTTATTTGAAAAGATATAATTAAAAATAAAAGAATCAGCTTGAATGGTTCAAAAAAGGAATTTTTTTGACAAAAATTAAAAAACAGAAAAGCATTGGTAAAATAGATATAATATTGTTTTTTTTTTAATGAAACACCCTGTATATTTTAAGTTTTTATTCTTATTTCAAAAATATTTAATTTGTATATGTTTGAATTAAATTTTTTATAAATATTAAAAAAAAATATTTAAAAATATATAGGGCGTTTCATTAAAGAAATTGCTATGCTATTTTATAAAATTTACCGATGCTTTTTTATTTTTAAAATTTGGTTTAAAAAAATACTTTTTATAAATATGCAAGATTGATTTTAAATTTTTTCGATATCTGTTTTTATAAATATTTTAAAGGGATTATTAGAAAACACCCTGTACATACCACTGTTTACATAGTAAATTAAATGTACAACTAAATTTTAAAAGCAAATTGTCTCCAAAAATACCTCAAAACCAAAACACCTCTTTCAGTAAAACCGTTAAGGTTAGTTCACACTACGATTTATTCATAAAGTGTTTTTTATTTAATTGTGTGTCAACAAATCTACCATTTTTTTCACTCAATATCACATAATAATAAATAGTCAAAAAATACTCAACAAAATAAAATCTTAATTTTATATGCATATTATTTAAAACAAAAAACTAATTCGAGGAATTACAAGTATTACAAAATTTCTACTTAGTCTGGTACAGTAGATAAACACGCACAGACATATTTAAGTAACTTTTAACTTTCATTTTTAACCTGTGGCATTACATTCCATTTATAACTATTTGCCTTGAATAATAATAACTTTGAATAATTGGTTTAACGGTTAGGTTCAAAGAAATAAAAAAAAATAACCATATTTTATATCATTATATTAATAGTCGATTTTATTCAATTAGTATAAGTAAACAATTGCAGTCCAATTTATTAGCTTTATATAGAAACATAAAGTATATTAATTATTTGAATCATGCTTAAATCAAATGTAAATGTAGGTAAATATTACATTATCTAAATTTAAATCTGACATATTCAACTATGTTTGTGTTGCAGGAAAATCAATCAGCAGTTGCAATTTCCATTATAATCCTTATCTATTGATTTGTTAACTTAATAACCGGCACAATTGTTAGTGTTTGACACACTGTTTGTGTAAACGGATTTAATAATTAGTTACGCCATAAATGACAAAAGCAATGAAGCAGTTTAATTTTCAATTAATTTATATCTTAATTGAGTAAGTAATTAATTTATTTATTATTATAATAATTTTATGAAACGTAATGTGGGAGTCAATAACATTATAGGCGAATAAAAAGGTTCGCTGTTGATCGCTTGTTGGGGTCTCCAATATTAATAAATTACAATTTTGTACATATCGAACATGTTTTCCAAAGTTATTTGAAATAGTTGAACTGTATAATTTAGCATATTAGAATGTAAGGCAAGATGTAGAATAGTACATTATCTATAATAATTTGACTTTTAAACTGCGTACAAATATCTTTCAATATAGGATTATGAGTGTTATAATATAAAAATTGTTGTACGCTTAAAAAAAATCCTTTATTTATTTCTATTTATAATCTTTTTTTATACTAACAATTTATTTTTCTTTACTAACATCTTATATAAAACTTATCTTTTTACCATGTAGCATTTCATCATATTAAATGGACATCATCGCAAAAACAGTCTAAGCGACAAATGCGATTTTTCTTGGATATTTATTGTTGTGTAGTTTTATATTTTGTCTTTTTATTTAACCTTATCTAGGGTTCATCAAGTAGTACCTCTGGAACAGCGAGCTCTGGCCCTGGAGGTTTGACAAACATTTTGTCAAATATTGATCTGCCAGGGCTGTTAAGAGGAGTGAACAGCTTTGTCAAATTAGTGGGGGCGTTTTGCCCCCCGTTATCTCAGGTAAATATATTTTTTTATAATGATATCTAACCAAATACAAATACATATTTTTTAATTAAAAGTTATTGTTATGCAAAGGTTTATTTAAAACATATCGTAGTAAAACTGTTTAAATTAAAAAAACTATTAAAATAATCAGCGTTAACAACTTTTTTTTTTAGTAGGGTTATGAAAATGTTTCCCTAGTTTACCAGATTTTTTAAAGAACATTTTTTAATTAATATTTTTTTTTAAAGTAAGTACAATTTTTATAAGATTAAGTGGGGATTTAAAATAAAAGTCGAGACCTACACAAATAATAAAACAGTAATTGATGTACATAATACTTAATAAATAATTTCAACGTCAAGGTCAATGTACTATTTAAAATTCATACAATTGTAAATAAAACCTCACGGGTTACTGTAACAACAGCAATGGTTATTTTTGTCACATGAATAAGTATTGCTAGGAAGTATAATAAGCCACATTCCCCATAATATGAGTTCATATAGTTTACTGTTCTGCACAGGAATGCGTGTGTTAGTTTACTGTTTTATTTTCTACGTACCTACACTAGGAATTTTCTTGTTTTTCTGTTCAGAATAAATTTATTGTCAAAAATACTTTTTAAAAAATCTAAGAAAAATTTCCTAGTATTTAAAAAATCCTTTATTACCTAGAGGTGTTAAAAATTTCCTAGATTGGAAAAATTTCCCTAGGGTTTGCAAAGCTGCTTTATATTTATGTTTAACATTTTTTTTTTTATAATGAAAATAAAATTTTGCTAAATAACTTAAATTACCTACCTAAAAAATGTATAAAGTAATTCAGTAGTTAAATTCATTTAGTGTTTCAAAAGCGGCCATCTTTAAATTTTTTGAAAAATGAGTTATTTACACCAATAAAATCAAAATATGACGTGGTATATTATTGCAAAATTAAATATAAATAAAAACGGCTATTTCCAAGAAAAATAATTCATAAAAGTTTTATGTAAAATTTAATTAGAAATATATGTTTTTTTTAATTAAAACTTAAATCTGTAGAACAAATATTTTCAGTTACCATATGAACAAGTTTTTCAAAATATACATATATATTTTTCCCCATTACTTTTTAAAATGGTTTTCTGCCATTTACTTATAATATTCTTTAGAAGAGATGGCCGCTTTTGAAATTAAACGACTTGTTTAAAAAAGTATAATTTTTTATTAATTTTACAAAAATATATAATGTAAAATTTTAAAGTATCTGAACAATTTTTAAATCGAAAAAATAGTAAAAAAGATAAAATATTGTAATTTTTACTATTCTCAATACCCTTAACATTTAAAATATGTAAAATTTCAAAAAACGTATGAAATAAAAAAGCAACAGGTTCTCCCAAAATTGACAGCCTAAAGCATAAAGATACATTTCTCCTGAAAATCCAAAATTAATTTTGTTTTACTATTTTTTTTGGTATTCGCAAATTAGCAGGAGTTATTTAACTTTTAAAGCTGCCAATGAAACCGCAATATAATCGATTTTTAATTTGGGTTGGCTATCTAAGAGTATATTCAGACAAACACTTTAAAAGCTAACTAACTTCTCCAATTTTGACAATTCGAAAAAACGTCCGCCAACTTTGGGACTCTCTGTTTAATATAGAATCAACTTTTACATTAAAAAAACCTTTGCAACAGATTTAATAACTAAAATTTAGAGAGTGAATTAATGAAATATAAATAATTTTATAAACCTAAAATTTGGTACTTTTTAAAATATAGTATGTTATTCCGAAAAAGGCCTATTAACGGTATGTCACGCTGTCGGGAATGATATTTTAAGTATAAAAAAATTACAATAATTTTGAATAGAAGTATAAAAAACTCAAGAACGCTGTGTTTTTTAAAAATCTAAAAAAATGTTATCTGCTGTGACTTAAAGTTAACATGGTTAAGAAATGTATTTTCTGACAGTTTGTATTAAATTTAAATTAACTTTGTTGTTATTAACAAATCTTATATATATTTTATTTTTACATAGATAATTATTTATAAAACATTAAAAAACAGTTTTAAAACCATTTATTAAAAACAACTTGTAGGAAAAAAATATTCCAATTTTTTTATACATAAAATAACCACAGAAGGGCAAGTGATATGCTCAAAACAATTTTTTAAAAAGTCGGTCATATAAATAACAAAACCGGGTGTATCTGAGAATAGGCGCACCCCTGTAACTTTTTTATTTATAAAGATGGACACATGAAATTTTGCATGGTTAATTAGGATATAATATGCCACTTATAAGAGTACAAAATGAATTTTTTGAACTTCCGGTTTTGCCTGAAATGATACCAAGTTTCGATTTTTAAATGGAATGCCCTATATATTTTTAGATATTTGGAATCCTGAGGAAATTCTGAGTCAGACAGCATCCTCAAATGGACCTTTTGACGTTTCGTCATCAGAAATGTATCATTATAAAGATCAATCTAGAGTGCTTTGAACTATCTTATTTTCTTCAATGCCTGAAAAATAGAACTTGCCTTAAAAAGTTGTTATTCAGCTATTCCCAGCAGTCTAAACTTGTCAAAATTCGTTTATCTCAAATAGTTCAAAGCACTCTAGATTGATATTTATGATGATGCATTTTCTGATAAAGAAACGTCAAAAGGTCAATTTGAGGATGCTGTTAGACTCAGAATTTCTTCAGGATTCCAAATATATATATATATCCTAATTAACCATGCTAAATTTCATGTGTCTATCTTTTTAAATAAAAAAGTTACAGGGGTGCGGCTATCTCAGATACACCCGGTATATATATATTTGCAATAAATTAAAAACATAATGAAATGCAATACTAACAAAATACATTAAACAATAGCAATGGCATCCAGCAATTATTTTAAAATTCATAATACACCGGTTACAGGTCCTTGACAACGTCATCCAAAACGTCACTAGCACCGCCTTCCGAGTATTCGGTCGTGCCATCTTGAGAAACGGCGGACTTGGCGGCGGCGCCGCAGGCGGTGGCGGACAGCGCGTCAACGTCGTCCTTCCCACTTTCCCACCAGATGAGGACTACGAAGAAGAAGACGAAGACACAACCGAATCTGTATCAGCCAACATCGAAACCAGAATCGGGGAAGCCGACGCTGATGCCACTAACACGGAGACGGCTACATTATCCGCCGAAACTACAGTGGTAACCACTACACTTTTCACTGTGAGCTTGCGGTTCATCAGTTTACCATATAAATTTGTTTTCGATGTTCTTTTTTGTTGTCTTGGTTTGGCATCTTGCCTCAATACGTGCAAGATTGGTGTTGGTTAAATGGTACTTTGTTAAAATAAAATGTTTCTAAGATCAAAAGAATAAAAACTAATTTTTGTATTCCCTATAGGGTATTTCCATTGTAACGGGTGCGACACTAAAACTGCGTTTTTTATGATAATAAAGGGTTTGTTCATATATATCAAGATACGTTAATATAATAAAATAGTATGAAAAATTAGGTATTCAACTCGAACAAAATGTCAATAAAAACCTTTTATAACGTCATGAATAGCGTAACGGGCGCGACCTTAGAAAATCGGCAAGTGCTACCAAGTTGGCTTCTAAAGTTGATACTGTAAAATTTTGGATGAAAGCATATAGTAATAATTGTTTGTGTAAAACTTGAATACTAACCATAAACAAGTACCTATTTTTAATTCACAAACATTGCATACTTTATTTTCTAAAATTTTCTTAAAATGTAACGTTAAACATTTTATCGAGTACTGAAACTCTTCCGTGTTTATTTTTAATGTTAGCTTCTTAGCATCACGATGTACGAATATTTTAAGGTTATCAATTATGTCGCAATTAAACTATTTGACTTCAGATATAGTTGTTGTTTTGTTAAATAACACTTCTGATTTTTTGTCAAGGTGGGGTAAGGTTTCGTGGAAATCCCATATAGTTTAAATACAGGGTGAGTTTTAAGTTGACGCGTTCCTTTTAACAGCGTGTAGAAATAAATATTTTAAGTAACGTTTTTTATCAAAACTCAAAAATAAGCGAGTTATAGCCCTTCAAAGTTTAATTAAATTTTGAGCCGGTCCTGGCTATAGGTTAACAAAAAACATAACCATAAAAATAAAAATAATAAAATAAACAATGCAAAATGTCAACTATGAAAACAAACATAACCATTTAAACCAAAATGACACATTTTTAACAATAATTGAGGGCCAAAAAAACTTAAGTAAATAATGACATTTTTCATTGCTAAATGTCATTTTGATTTAAATGGTTATGTTTGTTGTCATAGATGAAATTTTGCATTGTTTATTTTGTTATTTTTATTTTTACATAACCATATGGTTATATTTTTTGTTAACAATAGCCAGGACCGGCTCAAAATTTAATTAAATTTTGAAGGGCTATAACTCTCTTATTTTTGAGTTTTGATAAAAAAGTTACTTAAAATATTTATTTGTCCATCTAATTTCTACACGCTGTTAAAAGGAACGCGTCAACTTAAAACTCACCCTGTATATAATTTAATTTTTTATTTTTTATTAAAGTTCTCTTTAAATGCCTTTCAGTCTTCTTTTAATAAGTTATAATAAGTTAATATAAGATATAATATCGCTAATAACCTATAATGGTTGATGCGACCTCTTTTCTTGTGCTTAAATAAAAAAAAGTCTTCTTTCAATAAGTTATAATATTCTGATTCTAAAACTAATTAACATAAGTTCCAATTTTTAAAATATTATATAATAGCTTATATAGCTTTATTGATTCTATTAAAATACCATATCAATAAAGTTAAATTTGTTACTTTTGTAAAAAGCAAATTTTATCATCTTAAGTTTTGGAAAATTCCTCTGTAGATGATTTCCAAATCATGCCATTACAATAAGAAGATATAAAATTAGTAGAAAACCATTACACAAAGTACTATTTAACCACAATTATTGTTAATTTAAGTAACATTTTAACACAAAACCTATCTTATTGTGACCAATAAGACCTCTTACTTCAACTGAAGATAAGGATTTTACCATGACATTTCAGGATCATGCCATATAATATTATTTATTTTTATGTTTCGTACTTCCAGCGATCGTATAACAAACGAAGTCCATTTTATGACATATGGATGTATTAACATTATTTATTTTATTTCAGGGCTTTGTATATGTATGTTAATTGTTAAAAATATGTGATGTGACACATATGTTACATGTTTCAGGGCTTTTGTATATAAATGGTTGCTTGATTTTTTTATAACTATAAACAAAATTTTGACATACATTTTTTGTTACAGTCCCCTGCCATAGAAGAGAACACAGTCGCGAAAAGGCACGTGAGGGTGACTAGAGAAGCCGATCAAGAAGGCGCCGAATCAGCGCCTCAGCCCGCTGAAGATCTTTCGAGCCTTAACATTGACGACCAGGATAGAAACAAAAGATTTCTGCCTTTCGGCGGTAGCGTAGACGGACACGGTGGGGGCGGAAGCGGAAACTTCCTTTTCGATATAATTAGGGTAAGCAACGCGGCCTAAAAAGTGCCGCAAAAGTAAGACGTTTATTTTTGGTCGTTAAGTTATTTTGGGTATGTGATAAAATTTCCAAAACATCAAATTTTAGTTCCTGTGAGGTTTTTTATTTTTGTTAATGTTAATGCCTGGGTAATTTTTATCATTATTAATCCATAAAATCTAGTAAAATTAATTATTTACTTAAAAATATGTTAACAACCTTGTACTAAATTATTTATTTATTGTTTAATCATTAGGATTTTGCTTAATTATTTTTACATTAAAACTTAATTTTTAAAGAAATATATTGTAAAAAACATAAAACAATAATTGTTTTAATAGTAAACAAACTATCCCATTTTAAACAAGGTTTTATACCAATTTTAGTTTACAAAATTCTTAATCTACATCATTGTTAACATAATTTTATTAAAAATAATTGAAAAAAACCATGCATAACATTTTATAGTCTACCTACCTTAAAGTTTGTAAATATGTAAAAATTAAATTTAAATTATACAAAGCTGGCGTCGCCATTTATGTAAAATTAATTATTATAAACCCCATATTTATGTAAAACCTTTATTAATTATGCAGAAAATAAAACAGTAAGTAATAAATACATAGTTGTGCCTAATTGTATAGGTATCATGTAATAAATTTTGTTATTACACATATTAGTTAAGTTAATGTTTTAGTTGTATGCTTTTTTATATTTATACAAATAAAAACTTGTTATCACCCTTTACAAAATACACTTTATTTTATACTTAAGACACTTATCAAACACTACATTCACTATTTGACCTTCATTAAAAATATAAATATAAAAATATACCCATAAAAGGGAAAGGTATTGTCATAAACAATATACAATTCATTCATAATTCATAATATTTGTCAAAATATTTAATATGTATAAAGTTCAATCCAAATCAATAATCAAATGCTAATTTTGTGAAGTTTCTTAATAATGTAGGATATAATTAATGGCATCATTAACTTTTTAGAAACGCGGAAGAATATCTTTAACATTAAAATAATATTAAATCAAATAATTTTTTAGCAATTTAGTAATTTAAAAAAGTTATATATACACTTTTAATATATAACTATAATAGTTTAATGAAAAAATTGCCGGGTAATTCGATTTTATGTCGCATGAAATCTATGTTAATTTAAAATAAAAAAGTCAAATTAAATGTACAGGAAGTTTGAAATTAATGTTACTAAACATAAAAACGTTTAAAATATACCACTCGTTTTAAAAGTTTAAATTTTATTACAATACAATTTTGACTTTTATCTAGAGAGCAGTTTTTAATATGAAATTTTACTTTAAAATCTCTGCAACATTGTGTAGGTAAATCATAAGATAAAATTATTATTATTATTAATAATACTAATACAACAACAATTAGATCTTTTAGGATATTCCAAAAAATCCTTTTTTTTTGACATTACATTAAAATTCATATATATATTTTGTTGTTCAACAACTTTTACCGAAGATCATTGGTATTGTAGCTGTGGTTCCTAATTAAATAAAAAATAAGTTATTCACATTCATTAAGTTATTTTTTCAAAAATCCTGTTAAATAAAATCGTTGTTTCTTTCACAATATAAAAAACTAGACTTTTTTAAGAAAAATAATGTTAATTTTGGAATCACAGCCCTTAAATTACTTAGAAAAAGGCATGAGTTCATGCAGTAATTTGAAAAAATAAAAATTAACTTTCTTATAATTATCAAATATAAATTTTAATTATTTATTTGTTTAAAAAATATATATACTCAAAACATTTCAATAAAATTTAATTGAAAAAGTATTTTTTTAATCAAAGACACCCTGTATATGTAGGCGTCATTAAATACAACAATTTATGGTACCTATTTTTATTTCAATAAATGATTATAAGTATTTTAATTTATTTATAAAAATAAACTAGTAAATTATTTGTATTAGTTTTTAAATAAGAAACAAAAAAACAAAGGTTTTATAATTATTTATCCTGTAAAATTGTATTTGTTAATATTTATGCAAATATCATCATAATTGCCTTATACAATATTAATAATTACTGACATTGACATTATTATTTATTAATTAAGCAGTATTAAAATATAATAAATGAAAGTTATTTTCCCCACTCAAATTATTTTTATATCTATTTATCACTTTCATAGCGAACGTTGTTACACTTTCAATTTATTGCTTAAATAAGTACCTACCAAAATGCAAGGGGAATATTTTATGCTAATATTATATTAATTATAGTTTGTCCTAAATGTCAAAATATATTGTAATTAGAAACTCTTCTTAAACAAATTTAAAAGTTAAGGGTAAGTATTTAAATTAAAGTAAAAATTAAAATGTAGCGTGTAAATAATGAAAAACGTTCGCCGAGCAAAATGCATATTTTAACTTTCTATAATAAGAGGCATATTTTGCATCGCTTCTAGTTTTAACAAAGGATTCAAATTAATTAAAAAAATTGAACCCTCCAGCGCGTGAAATTAATTGAAACTTATGTTACAAAACATGTTTACTTTTTGTTTTTAAAATTTACACAATATCTTTATGAAAATTTAAAAAGTTTATAAGTTAAATAATTAATTTAATAAATTTGCTTAAAATATGAGAAACTAAAGCAATTATAAAATATTTAACAAAATGTTTTTATTATATGAAAAATTTGCTATTGGGGTTTTCGCATTTTTAGAAAATGATCTGTTTTGGTTACTTTTGAAGACCCAGGAAATTAGTTATTAGTGTTTAAAATATAGATTTTTTAAATTAACCGATGACACGAATATACAGGGAGCAACAGCCCCCAAAAGAGGAGGATGTTTTTTATTTATTATATACAAAACTGTTTAAGATATTAACGTGAAATTCATCAAACTTTTCATGGCCAATAAGATGTAATAATAAAATTTTTAATTATTTCATGAGGGGTAGGTCAGATAGATAGGGAGTAAGGGTAAAACCTTTTGTGTAAGTGTCTTGTCCCAGATTACCTTACATGGCATTTAAATTTATAATGAAATCACAACTAACAACATGGCTGCCATGTTTAGGAAAATTATTCAAGGCAGGTGACATTTTATGCAATGTAAAACAGAGCTTGATAAATTCTCAAAATTACATCTTGAACGGTTTTAAAGATATTAAATCCAGGGCTCCTCTTTCGGGGGCTGTACCTCTCCAAGGAAACATTTCTCGACTCATAGGAACTTTTATTTATATTTTTGTACAAATAATCTGCTGTTAAAGTTTGCAAGCTAATTATGGAACACCCGCATGTTTTAAGGGGGCTAGCAACCAATTTTTTAATATTATAAATCAAAATAAAGAATAGTAGATTTTTTGAATCACCCTAATATATATATATATATATATATATATATACTATATATTATTATTACTATTTTTAATAATAGGGTGTATTTAAACTAACGAAAAAGCTCTTTAGTACGTTTTAGTTGACCACTAAGTTAGTCCCGGAAAAATAGCAAATAATTAGCTCGATAATTGAAGCAACTGCAACTTCAGTTCGGAGGAGACATGGACTCTTTATCATTATTAACAATAAAAATAATTTGAAATACAAATAACAAGCAGGCAGGTGTATAATTTTTGTTAAAAGACCTACAAAAATAATCTTCTGTCTATCACTGTCTTATTTCTCTTTGCCCTTTATCCATCGCATTCTACTTTGATTTTTTCGAGTGGTATCTTTAATTTCGTACTTAGTCGTTTCCGACCTCTTCCTGAATGTTGAACTTGACTACAAAAAGAATTTAAATGCTGAAAACACAAACAAGCTGCTAATAATATGCCTTTAGCAGAAGGAGGTGGCGGAAAAGTAAACGAAGAACTCCTAGAAATGCGTAAAGCAAAAATTTGATTGAAGAAAAATGGTCAAACTTTTAAACAAATAATCCAAATTATGGGAATTCGATTATTGACTTGAATGCCTGAACAGTTCTTCTTAGAATACTAATAAACGATTCTTTTCATAACTACCAAATAATTACTATTAGAATTTTCACCTCGATTTCAATAGCTCGATACTACTTTCTTTTACTTTGGTATTAAGAAACTTATACGTGGCAAACACAGAAATTTTAATCTTTCTTATAGCTCCTTTGTAAGGCCTGAGGCGCGAGGACCTTATCAACCCTCTTCATTCTTTATTTGGGAAACCCTCTGGTTTATATCAGTACCTACGTCATAATCTGACCATAAAACCACCAAGATTTATATAAATGATTTTGCATATTGAACTAAATAATACAGCTCACCAGCCACCGCATTAATGGTGCTGAATTGACGATTAATATTTTGGCCAATATCGGAGGAACTTTTTTACTATTTTTCCGCCAGTTTAGATACACCCTGTGTAGGTTACCTATCCAACTTCCCTAAAGAGCGTTAATGTTTCAGAACATTGTTCAAAATCTAAAAGATCTTGGGGAAAAATTTAAGTGCTAGACTGCAACAGCAAAGATTTTTAAATATGAATTATTTTTTAATAAACTGTATTATTTTGACTTTAATTTATGTTCTTAAATAAAAAAAACTATTTTAAATTAAAACTCGCAAGGGAGAACACTGCAGTGCACTGGCACAACACAACTTAATAAGTGAGATCAAGTCAAGAAAAACAATACAATCCGAAATTAGAGGTTAAATTTATTAATCATATTAAAGTTATTTAATTTAATGTTATTAAAGTTATTTAATTTGGTTTGTTTTCATGAAAACCGCTGTTAGATATTGGGAGTTTCATCTTATGAAGTAATTTGAAAAATTAATTAATTAATGAAGCTAATGGGTACAAGTGCAAAAAAGAGAAGTGGATTCATAAAATAAGGTTTTTGCTATGTACAAAAATCTAGATACTTGTTTTAATGTTTGCATTAATTAATTAACATGCAGAACTCGTACAATTTTCACGTTATGGGTAAATAAAAAAAACGACACTAAACTACCCAATTC